TTTATACATATAGTGTAATAGTGTAAGATAATGAAGGAGGAAACTAAATTATAATTTATCATATGTAGCAGTTAGACTTGTGCTAAATGTATAAACAAGCAAACTGAAAGATTTTTTTCTTTTAAATTGTAAAGAAAATAAAGAAAAATAACAACAATGTCAAGGCTTGATTATTTCTGCTAACTTGAGCGCTTAGTTTTGAGTGGTAAGCTTGAAAGTGTCTGTGTTGTTATTAGCAATTTATTTATGCATCTCCTAAGAGTTTGATTTGTGATAACTCGTGTAACATAAATTATTCACAGATATTATTCATACTTGGACAAAAGAACACACAAGACAAAACCGACAGTTTTCAGTTATTCTGATATGACCTGGGCCTTTAATTGACCTTGGTTGTCGCGGTAGATAATAAAAAAATTAAGAATTTAAGACAATACCTTTCCAAAGTCTCATTACATGTATTTGTATTTATTCTGTCTCCTAGCATATCGATATAGATTTACAGTTTATATTGGGACAAGATTAGTGGTTGTCAGCTAATAAAACTCGAGTGACTAGGCCATATTAAAATTTTAAATATGCTAATAATAAAATAAATTGTATAAACGCATAACATTTTATTTTTCACATAGATAAACATGAGCACTTTAAACAGAAATATAAATAAAATATAACTAAGAAATAAACAAGAAATACATTGAAAATAGTTTGTGCTATTCTCAGTAAGATTTGAGTGAAAAGCGTTTAAATTAATTTTGGGTCATTTTTCGCTATTATAATAATTATTTTGGAAAAACAGAGCGAGCTAATGATCTGAAATAAGTTATTAGTATAGATCTTCATCAAATGGAGTAATAATCTAAAAAAACAAAACTTTCCAGTCCCGTCATGTCAAAAAACCTCAGTGGAGTCCCTTTAAGAATGTTTGACAACATTGAGCTACATAAAACTGATTACTGACATTAGTATCAAAACTTCGGGGGAATAAATGAAATTAATCATTGACATGTCTACACTTTATAACACAACTTGTAAATTACCGTGTATAAATAATAAGCCTGAATCAATTATAAATATGTCTCGGAAATAAGCAACAATTTAATTCAAGTCAGTTTGGTTAGTTCATTTAGTGATTTAAACGGACTCTTAACCTGTCCGAGATATATTACAAATTCTAACACGACCCGCATTTTTCCCTATTGAACATAGAAGAACCGAAAGTGTGTATTATTATGCAATAGTCACTGTTTGACGTTCTATATTTAGACGTGTGACGTAATCATTGTACATGTGACGTAACCACTATGAAATCCGACGCGCTGACAATAAGTACGGAAACAAATCAGGCGCAATTTTGCCTAATAGCAGGTACGGCAGCATTTATTTGTTTATGTGGTGTAAGAATCGAAATAATACATCCAAATCGGTGATTTTATCGCTGGATAACATCACTGTTGGTCGTTCGGATGCGCAACATTATATCACTCGGGCTACGCCCTCGTGATATAATTCCTCGCATCCGAACTCCAAACAGTGATGTTATTGAGCTATAAAATCACAGTTTGGGATATATTATTTCTTAAGTCAGTCACATCATTGAATTATCTTGTAATCATTGAGCGAAATATTCTTTACGTTAGAACACTTTGTACATTAAAGCTGCACGCCTCCAGATGAGCAAATATATTTCGATAAAATCAAACCTGAGAAAAATGTAGAATCTACTAAGATTTTTGGATAAGTATAACTAGATTCAAAGTTCTAGTAATAATTTACATGTTATCTAAGAAATAATATATCCCAAACTGATTTTATTGCCCAATAATGTCACTGTTTGGAGTTCGGATGCGGGGAATTATATCACGAGGGCGTAGCCTGAGTGATATAATGATGCGCATCCGAACGACAAACAGTGATGTTATCAAGCAATAAACTCACCGATTTGGATATATTATTTCGAGTCTAACACGACATCAACAAATAAATGCTACCGTACATTATAATTAGCTAAATTGCGCCTGATTTGTTTCCGTACTTATTGTCAGCCCGTCACATTTTTAGTGGTTACGTCACGTGTATAATGATTACGTCACATGTCTAAATATAGAACGTCAAACAGCGATTTTATAGCATAATAACACACACTTTTGGTTCCTCTATGTTCAATAGGGAAAAATGCGGGTCGTGTTAGAATAGCGATTAATTACCAATTTTTATGCCCCCACCATGTAATGGCCGGGGCATATAGTGTTACCCTGTTCTGTCCTTGTTCTGTTCCGTCATTCCGTCCTTCCATCATTCTGTCATTCCGTCATCATCAGTTTCCGTTCATTATCTTAGTAACGGTTGCACATATTCAACTCAAATTTGACATATGGATATGTCATGAGAAAATACAGGTCAAGTTCGAATTTGGTTATGGTTCGATGATTTTTGGCAGAGTTATGCCCCTTTTACTTTGAAAATAATATGAAATTTTCAGTTTCCGTTCATTATCTACCGAACAGTGTTACATATTCAACTCAAATTTGACATATGGATATGTCAAAGGAATGGGCAGGTCAAGTTGGAATTTGGTCATGGTTCGATGATTTTTTGGCAGAGTTATGTCCCTTTCACTTTGAAAATAATATAGATACATCTTAGGAATAAGCATTTTAAGTTTGAATTTGGTCGTGGTTCAATGATTTTGGACAAACTTATCTTTCTTGAATATTGGAAAAATTTTGAACTTTCAGTTTCAGCACTCATACTTTTGTGGAAATGTATGTAGCCATTATTTTGGCTACAAATATGAAATATGCTATTTTCAAAAGGTTAAGACTGAATAATTTCAGTGCCTTGAACATTGTATGGAAATGGTTTGTGTTAACATTGAAAAGTTTTAAGGGCTTTGAACTTAAAATGAAAACAATAATTTGTGCAAACAAATTTGGAACTACGGTAAATATTATAACATCTGAAATTTTGGCTGCATATGCGGGGGCATCCGTGGCATGATGACACATTTCTAGTTCAGTATTTATAACTATATTTCTACTGCGTTGCTAATGCAGTAAGGTCAATTTTTGCATATTTTTTTACCTCTACAGGACATTGGGTTATTAAGTGCCATTGATAATGTGTAAATTGCATTATTTTGGTAACTTAACAATATTATACTGCTTAATACATTTTCAAATTTTCATGAAAATTATCGTGCTGCTTTAGGCATATATTTATTATATAGTAAAAGTGCTTGAGCAGAACATGTATGTTCGGGAACTTGGGTTCTACTTCAAATAAATCTAAACGAGTATGCGTCTTTAACTTTTATTTCGTTGATAAACGTCGATAAGCGATGATAAGCGATTTTCTGAAAATATTAATTTTTATAACATGCTTTTCGGTGGTTTATAGAAATATATCGGTGATATAAAACTGGTAATTTCACTTTTTGAAACAGTGAAATTACCACTTTGATAATTTCACTGTTTTGAATTTAAGCCCCTTACGTTGTTTGAGTTAAATACCAGCGTGCACAGTACTGGGTACCAACTTAATGACGTGACGTCGTAAATGACGTCAAGTTGTATAATTATTTGGCGCGCTTTTCATTCAGTATTAGGTTTAATGTCTTTTCAAAACGTTTATTTGCATATAATAAAAAGAAAATTTGTTTAGTTTAGTGTAAGATTGAAATATATTTCACCTTGTATGTTGCGCCACTCGTGAAATATACATTTTGGTGCTAACTCGGTGAAATATATTCCGATCTTACACTGAACTAAACAAATATCCTCTATACAATTTGTACTTCGCAATAAATAATAAACATAAAAACATTCACATCATCAATAAATTACATATGAATTACACAATAAATCTAATTAGAACTTTTGTACCTTTAAATTTAAATCTTACTGTAAATTATCTTTTAAAATAATTGCATTATTTTGTTAAATTAAACATACCGATTTTGACTTAGTTCCAGATTTAAACTGACGAGATTCTCAATAACAAAACAAAACAAAAATGATGACGTCGACGTAAACATCTTACGTCACGTAAATAGAGGATATTGAATGAGTGTAAGTTCAATACTGAATTTATTGCACGAGTTGAATAAAATTATATTATGCGAGCCTCTGGCGAGCATAATATTATTTTATTCAACGAGTGCAATAAATTCAGTATTGAAATTACACGAATTTAATATTCTATTTATCGCATAACCCAAAACAAAGACCGTTTAAAGTGAAATAAGAGTCATTTTTCATTGTCGCGACCATAGTATAACGCTAACATTTAGCGCGTCTTTACACTATGTTTGTATAACGCTAATGACGTCACGTAAAAATATATGCACGGCCGTGCAATACCATATTTACGGAGTCGCAAAGTCGGCACGGGTGTGTGATAAAGTAGCGTAACCTATTGACGCCATTAACTACGTTCACAAATCTGAAGTACTTAGAAATCAGTCCTCGCCACGAAATTACTCTTAAATTTCATCAAAATTCTAAATAACTATGTACAATAAAGAGACAAATTTGACCTTTTAAACTTAAATATATGTATATTCGAGTGGTTAATGTTTAAGCTTAGCTTTTAAACTTTGAAGTGTCAATACATGAGTATGACTAAGGTGAACACTTTCAAGTAGACACCGCTCACAAGATTTGTTCCACCTTCTTCGGATATCCTCTTCTAGCAGTAAACGCTGAAATGCTGCTATGAAGGAGTCAGTTGTTAAAATGTGTGTAACTTCAAGATGTACTGCTATAGTTGCAAGACACGTGAATAGACAACCGTATCTCTTTACACGTACGCTCTGCTTTTACAATAAGTGACCCAAAGTAATCAATACCTACATTCGTGAACGGAGGTTCATCTGGTGTCGTCTGCTCGGGTAGGAGAGGGGCAATCTGTTGAGTCATCAATGGGGTATGTTGTCGTCTGCATATAATGCAATTTTTTACAATAATTTTCACTGCACTAGGTCCCTGAAGTATCCAGTATTATTCACGGGATGCGGCTAGTACATGCTGTTTCCCGGCGTGACCATTATTTTCATGTATATGTCGCATTATCAATCTTGTCACGGTATTTTTATTGGGTAGTATCACTGGACAATTACTCTGGTTGCGAGATTGAAGTCGACCCTGTACCCGAATGAGGTCATCATATATCATAGGATTCAATGAAGCTATACTACTGTCCTTTTTGACCGGCTTAGAATTTTGTAAATTGTTAATTTCACTGGAAAATGCTGTTTTCTGTACATACAACATTATATTATGCTCTGCTGTCTGCATTTCTTCTAATGTTAAGTTGCCATCTACCATTTTCAACTTGTGTTTTAGGTATCGCTGTCTGCAGAAATTCTTGTATCTTAGCAACCATGCGACTGCTCTTCTTAGTTTCGTCCAGCTACAATAGCGATCTATAATGCTATCTAGGCATTCAGCTGCAGAAGTTTTATTAATCAGGACTTCTTTTTTGACCTCGTTATCATTTTCTGCTATTTCCAGCGGAAGTGGATTTTTTGTCAATTTTTTAGAGTCTTGCTGAAGAAACATAGGTCCATTTAACCATAAATTAAGTTTTTCACTATCGTATGCACTTATTCCTCTGGAAGCTATGTCTGCGGGATTCGAACTTGTGTGTACATGGTGCCACTGGTCTGGGGAAGTTGTTTCATGAATTATGCTGAGTCTATTCCCAACAAACGTCTTGAACCGCTTGAACACGTTATAAATTATATATCCAAGAACAATCATGGAGTCTGTCCAAAAAGTAAAATGGTCAAAGTTCATATCTAATTCTTCAGATAACATTGCAAATAATCTACACCCTAATACAGCGCCAGATAACTCAAGTCGTGGAATAGACATCTGCTTTATTGGTGCTAGATGAGATTTTCCTATCACCAGGGAACAATGTACGTTGTCATGTACATCAACAAAACGCAAGTAAGCGCATGCACCATAGCCTCGTTCCGAGCCATCACTGAATATATGTAACTGGGTATTTCTGACGGTCCCAAATCCTTGTGGTCTGAACAAGCGATTCACAGATAGCTTTTCTAAGCTGGATAAGGTAGATAACCAAGTTTGCCATTCATTACTGATGTTGTGTGGTATCTGGTCGTCCCAGCCAATCTTCAATCTGCACAAACTTTGTACTATATCTTTGGCCTGGAGTGAAGCAGGTGACACAAGTCCAAGTGGGTCGTATATAGCACTTACGACAGAAAGAATTCCACGTCTCGTGAAAGGCTTCTTTTCCAATGTTACTTTAAAACAAATTTTATCTTCATTTACATTCCAAAGTACTCCTAAGGCGCGGTCACAAGAAGAAGGGGCGCGTTCGGATTCTGGGATTACATTCAAAACTTCTCTGCTGTTACTTAGCCATTTAGTCAGTTGAAATCCACCTAACTTCATAATTGACTGAAGATCAGTTGCTAACTTTATTGCCTTTTGTTCTGATTCCACAGACTTCAAACAGTCGTCAACATAAAAATTTCTCTGGACTGTAGAACCACTTCCGGTTCAAATATTTCGGCATTATCAACTGCAGTTATCTTTAAGGCATACGCCGCACAACTTGGTGATGATGTCGCTCCAAACAAGTGTACATTCATGCGGTAACATTTCGGTTTCTTGTTTAAGTCCCCACCAGGCCACCATAGAAAACGTAAAACATTGCGATCTTCATCCGTAACGCGCACTTGATGAAACATGGATTCTATATCCGCGGCAAGGGCTATTTTCTCTTTCCTAAAACGAATTACTACGCCCATAACATTGTTCATTAGGTCAGGTCCTTGGAGCAATTGGCTATTCAATGAAACGCCTTTATATTTCGCAGCGCAATCAAACACAATGCGAACTTTCCCTGGTTTGTTTACATTAGTAACTGGATGATGTGGTAAGTACCAGATACGTTTGTGATAGTTTTCGTCCTCAAATTCTGGTAATTCAGTCGCAAAACCTTTCTGTATATATTCGTTCATGGTAGTTGTGTACATTTTCTGTAACCCTGGGTCACGTGACAGTTTGTTTCTTAGTTGTTGAAGACGCACTTGAGCGAGTGGAATGTTGTTAGGCAATTGTCCGTTCTCGTTTTTCAATGGTAATTCCATCATGTAGTGTCCGTCTTTATGAAAAAGAGATTATTCCATTATTTTCATTGCACTTTTGTCTTCTAAGGACATATAATTTTTCTCTCCAATCTGTCTTTAAAATCAGTATTCCACATCTTTTCTAATTGTTCCTGTAATAATATGTCTCTGGACTGTTCAAAGTGAATATTTACTGCACTGGGACTTGTATCGTCTTTCAAGGGGCCACGAATCGCCCATCCTAGGCTGGAACGCACTGCATATGGTTGGTCACTGTCTCCTGACCGTACTTCTAAGGGGATATGGGCTGCTGGGAAATCTGTGCCAATAAGAAGCATTACATCAGTATTGGGAATTTGGGGAATTTCAATGTCAGATAAGTATGGAAAAGTTTTGTAGTCTAAATGCATTGTCGCTGATTTTGCAGATATCAATAGTTTCTTCACCGACCATACCTTACGTAGGGAGACTTCCTCACTTCCGGTTCCGTTTACAGCCATAACTGCAAGGTCCGCTTCATGTCCATAACTCGTGCTGCTAGATGAGTTCACGGTTGATATTTGAAACGTAATTGGCTTACAATCAACATTTAACTTCTGTAACAGTCTCTCGTCACATAGTGTTTTATCAGCACCATCGTCTAACAGCGCGTATGTATGACACTGAATCCCGTTTTCGCCTCTTACAATCACAGGCACAACACCCAAACAGTTCTTCACAAATGAACTTTTAACAGCTGCGCAATTCACCGAGGATTGTGTGACTAAAGCCTCATTCTGTGGTCCAGTCCAACTATATATGTAGTAGAATATTGTGTTTAATTCTATAATCCGGCACGGTGCATAACTTTGGTTTCCTACAGTTATTAAATGAATGATTTCCTTTCAAACAATTGAAGCACAGTTTGTTCTTTTTAACCACTTCGTTTCCTTCTTTTAAATTCATAGACTTAAATTTCACAAACACATGAACATAAATCTGCACAGTTACCATGGTAACATCTACATTTTCGCTCGTACTTCTTCATTTCCGTATTACTCTGAGTAGTCAGTGTTGTTATATCTTTTGATGGTTTTTCAGCATAAGATCGACCGTAAGTCGTCTTGTGTTCCACTTTTAATGATTTATTCTCCTTGTCAATGTCTATACCGTACATGGAATTAGCAACTCGTGACTTTTCATCTACAAATCTCGCTAAATCGGAAAACTTTGGTTCTCTACCAGACTCATTAATCACGTGTGCGGTCTCAACCCATTTCGATCTCAAATGCATTGGTAACCGCTTCACTATCGTCTTAAATTTTGAGAGTTTTCTATTTCACAAGAGAAACCTAGTTGTGACAACGTTATTTCTTATTTTTGCATTTCCATGGCTAAATTAGAAATACCTTTAATGTCAGATGCTGATAACTGGGGATCTTCTACAAGTTTTTCAATGTATGTCCTCGTGATCACGTGCGGTCTTCCATAACGAGAGTATAAGATTTCGCGTGCGCGTTTGTATCCTTCACTTGGTTCTAACAACACACAGTCTTCGATACAAATTTATGCTTCTCCGTAACAGTATTGTATTAAATAGCTCAACAGTTGGCTGTCAACAGAAACTCTATTTTCTATATTAGTTTTAAAGTTCTTAATAAATATAGTATATAATAGCGAGCTCGACGAGCTGGCCCGAAGGGCCTGCTCGCAAAGCGAGCTTTACGGTAACGCGAGTACCTGCTAAGTGATGGTTTTGAAAACTTTCGTCCAAAGTACCGAATTGGACACATCGCAACCTTTCGAATTTACAGATAACGATAAAAACTGAGGAATTCTGACTGAAAACGGATATGAAGACTGGTCACCCGCGCACGTCTTTGGGAACCATAATTGGACAGGGAACCAGAATAACGGAAGCTGTGTATAAAATATCGAAATCGAAGGCGCCATTTTGTTTGAAATCTGATAGATAAAAACAATTTTTTGACGAATTTTGTTGTGAAAACTATCCAGAATGAAAGGAAATGGTCTAACTAAGAAAATGAATCCGAGAAACAATATATTTTATTCAGTCGTTAACGCTGTACAGACGTTTAAAGTATTGTTTACGTGACGTCACAATGTAGCGCCAAACAGCACGTGCAAAACAAACAAATCAAGTACGTTATTTTAATGTCGCAAACGTTTTAAGTTTTACATTTATCTCACTTTAAATAATCTTTATTTCGCTTGAAAAAATATAGAGTGAAATAAAATAATAACAAAATACGTTTTCATAAACTCGTTATTCATTTGGCGTGTTCCGCTGAAAGTTAATAGCTTTCCGGTTTCGGTAAATTGAATCCCTCGTGCAGCGCGAAAGCAAGTTTTGAAATGCTTGTATCAATACCGGATTCACTAATCGTCGGAATTTCTTGTACATGATTCATTACCAGATACTGCGTTTAGCGTGCGATTTGACAATTTGTACGATTCAGTATTACTCATATCACGTGCAGCACGGGAATAAGTGCGTTCAACACTGTCGTCTGCATCAAATCCGTTGTACCGCCCAACATTCTGTGATGATTATTATTAATTCAATCATCGGATAATAAACATGCTGACGTATCAGTTCTGGATTTGAAAATCCCATCTTTGCCTTTATGACGTTTATTTGAATTTTGGTCACTAGTAGACTCATTGATTAATATCGTCTGCTTTGAAGATTCATCCGCGTTAACACAATTTTCTTGCCAGACGGATTCTTCTATCTGAGCTTCTTTCAAGAACGATCTGTTGATCAAGTAATTGCTGTTTAAATTCGAGTTCCTTGCGCGCTAATTCGAGTCCATGTTTTTTCTCCAATGATTTTAATTTTAATTCAGCAATCAAACGTTTTGCTTTCGCACTTTTCAACTTTGCCTGTGATGACACGGAATTTGCACTGCTAACTGTAGATAAATCTATTCGAAACTCTTAACTGGTTACCGTTCCTTGACAGATGTAAATACCACACGGCGGTGCTTGTTTTTAAAACTTTAAATAACATGGCACCGACTTATATGACAGAACTGATGACTTTATCCGACAACAAAATATATAACTTAAGATCTAGGTCACGAAAAGATATTGTATTATGGACAAGACCTAAAATAAATTATATTAAAGACACATTTTCTTATTATGGTATGAACATTTGGAACAAATACTTTTAAATATTCGTAATGTTAATAACCGTAAATGTTTTAAAGAAAAATACAAAGCATATCTTGATGTTCATATGAATGAATGAGTGAGTGAATGAATGAATGAATTAATAAATGAACAAACGAATGAACGAACGAACGAACGAACGAATGATTCAATATACTTATATGTTTAAACAAATTGTTGAGTGTCTGTCGAAAGTATATGAGTTGTATTATTCTAAAAATTACATATTATACGTTCATTTTTCTACCTATGCATGTCCTGTTGTTGTTGTTGTTTTCTATTTCAGAAGGCCACATTGGAAATAAGATATATATGATTGTTATTGTATGTTCTTAATGTGTAACCTTCTTTAAATAAAGATATTATTATTATTATTATTATTATTATTATTATTATTATTATTATTATTATTATTATTATTATATAAAACACCATCATCAGGTATATTCTGCACAGATTTCCACTGTGAAAATCTTTCCTGGCACTCAAAGAAGTTTTGACTACAATGTTCATAATTCAATTCAAGCGTTTTCCGTACATCCGGGTCTGAGCATAAGTCTAAGCATAACAAATGTGCTGATTTAAATGATTCAAAGCGCTCACACAACGTGTCATACAATATTTGTACATCATCTGCGTTCTCATGTGATATCATTTTCAGTTCTAAGTCTTTGTATAATCGCGTCAATTTTCCTAGTTACGAAGAACGTGAACGCTTAACACTACCAAAATCCTCATGCGTAGGATCTGTTCCATTTTCGTTAGATATTTCCTCCGTATTGAAGGAATCGAGAATTGTTCGGGAACTTGGGTTCTACTTCAAATAAATCTAAACGAGTTATCACTAGGGAACAATTTTTTTGTTAAATTAAACATACCGATTTTGACTTGTCTCAATACATCAAGTTCCAGATTTAAACTGACGAGATTCTCAATAACAAAACAAAACAAAAATGATGACGTCGACGTAAACATCTTACGTCACGTAAAGTAGCGTAACCTATTGACGCCATTAACTACGTTCACAAATCTGAAGTACTTAGAAATCAATACGTTTCTAACAATGTATGTTAATATCAAGAAATAAAGGGGAATAACTCGAGAGGGCATAAAATGGATTCACAGTAGCCATTTTGTATCAGTATGGTACGGTTACACAGGGGAAAAACAACATGATATATTTTGGTCACGAGATAACTCATTCCAAATATATAAATATCTCGTTCTTCTTTCTAGGGGGTAGTAATCGTAGTATATTGTTTCCAGGATATTACGATAAAACACTTTGTATCTTTAGTAAAAATTGTTTGGTACTTTCACTATTAGGTCAGATTGCTAGGTTTGGTTCTTGTATCTAGGTGATTTCCATCTGTCCGTCCGAATTTCGTTTCAGCACTAGTTCTCTGCAACTACTGGCTGGAATTTAACGAAACTTTATGGGAAACATAAACACTAAAAGGAGATGGACATATCGTTGCCTTGTTTAGGTCAGGCGCTTCAATACAGAGTTAAGGCCCTTGATTATATATATAGAGCAATTTTCGCACTATTTCTGTTCAACTACTGGCAGGAAATCAACGAAACTATGGGAACCATCAGTACCGAGACAAGATGTGCATATTGTCGCCTTGTTCCTATCAGACCCTTCAACACAAAGTTATGGCCCTTGATTAGTTATATGGACCTTAATTAGTTATGGAGTATGCATATATAGCAATAATTGTTTCGTTCTACTTCTTCTCTTAACATCAATCAAAGTCACTCTGGTTCAAATATTGTACCTTCATAATAAAGCCACCTTAATTATTGCTTTGCATCTGTACAATACGACCACTCGAACCTTGTTTAGATTGAGATTTAGGACACAACATCCAGGATAATTGTGTACAGCTTCATACCCCAAATTTACCTTTCAACGAAATTGATTTACGTGCATTTGTATATATGATAACTAAAACATCAATGTTGTTTCACAATTTTATTTTTATTAAATATATGAACTATGATATAAACTACATGTATAGAACATTGATTTATAAAAAATAAGATTTCTGTAAACATATCATACTTGTAATCAGTACTGACAGTATAATTATTATAATATATATAACAAAATGTACTGTTTCATATTTATCTCCCCTTACCTCATAATATGTAAAACAATAAAACAGTAATATCGTAATTCTAACATTTTCTAAAACTTGTAAAAAGGTCAAATTTGTGGTAAATATCAGATTGATGAAAATAAGAAATAAAATGATAGCATTTCTGATGTATAATGGGTCTTTAACCAACATTTCATCAACTTAAAAAAATCATTATAAATTTTCTTCATGACATGTCTTCAAATAAGTTGCAATGACCTTCAAAGCTGTTTTGTCAGAAGGATTAAATGATATTTTATGTTCAACTTGATATGGACTTTATGGTCCATTATGCCTCAGAAATATTCTTTCTTTAACTTTATTTTTAATATCTTGTTACAGTTTCAAAAAAAAAATAACTCATTTGTCATAAAATTTAACCATCTTTGATCGAGCTGCTTTGTTGGAATTTGTTTAATTGTAGTGAATTATAATTTTGTATGAAAGGAAAACTACTACTTTTGTTTACATTTTGTTAAAATTTTGTTTACATTCTGCACATTCAGCGCAACTTTCCCCAACTGTTAATCATCTTAACATGTTCTAAATCCATTGTAAAAATATTATTAAACACATGTTTGACATTTCTAATGAATTGAATAAAAACATATTTCCGAGGCAAAATGTGCCTTTACACGAAAATTTAGTATAAACTGTTACAGAGGTGAAAAACTACAATTTTTTTACATCGCATATACATTGTACTTCAATCAGATATATAGAAGTACCAAAAGCTTTTCATGTAGATACATTGAATTGTGTATGAGTTGTGTCCCAGTAATAAATGAAATAGGGACATTTATAAAGCCTAATGGGCAATAACTCTAAAAATGTGCACAAGACAGCAATTTACCTCAAAGGTTCGAAACAAAAATAAGGCATTGCAAACTTTAAAGGGCTTTTATGTCTAAAATGTGTTGTAAGAGGGTATGATTTTTATAGTTCACTGCAGATTTCTTAATGAGATTTATCTATCGATGAATTTTCAAGTTCTTCACTTCAACACTTTAAAAAATTAACCTTGGAGGGACAAAACTTAATATGAAAAGGCATGAGAGAAAAATAAGGTGATTCTTGAATAATACCTTCTTAAACACCTTTGTTGTATGAGAGTAAAATTAATGATTGTTTTATAGAGAACGGGCGCTATATTGAATACATACACAAAATAAAAAAAATACTTATCTTTGTAAATTATACAAAATTCCACTAAGAAAACTATATACATGTATACAAAAAATATAAAAATAACAAGACGGCCATGACGTCCCTAATGAACCAAGTATAAGTAATTATTACAATCTTTACAAATTTGTTGTATGAGAATATTATTACTGATATGATTGTGGATTTAGAGAATGGGCGCTATATTGAATATATACACATAATACAACAATACTTATCTTTGTAAATTATACAAAATCATACTAAGAAAACTATATACATATACACACAAAAAAAAACATCTCTTAAAGTAACAAGAAGGCCATGATGACCCTAATTCGCCATATTTCACGTCATAGTAGCATGACAATATCCCATCCTTCTGGATGTATCCTTATTGTGTTACCTGAATGTATGTAATTTTCTTTATTACATATACATAGGTAAGTAATATACATGTCATTTTCTGATCACTGAATATAAATTATGTACATGCATATAAACAAAGTAGTTTGACAATGAGATACACAGTACCTCAAACACACAAAAAATAGTATTTATAGCATATAGATAACTTATAATACATATGTATATACTTGAGCGGACAATAGAACAACATCAAATCTAACTAGAACATGGATAAGCTATACATTAATATATTATGTACAAATATACATATCAACCTATTAGGGACACATCTGAACAGAACTAATGAAGATTTTTTATTTTCTTGCATGCAAGAGACATAAGTATACTATGGAGAAATGGTACAGTTATAAGTTGTCAATTGTCAATGATAACAACTCTCACACTACTGGCAGCGTTGATTATTAATATTAATATATTATACACCACTTAAGCACACATCTGCTGAAAGTTAAAGATACTTTTTTCACCTCTCTTTATTAAACCAAGGAGGCATTTGTTTAATTTTATAAATTCCTTAAATACTTCTGAAAGTTAATACGGTCATTTATAAAAACTGTTTGTTTGCTAAATTGCTATATAACCCGAAAGCATCGGTTATATATTAAATTACAGCCATTTCACCTTGGTCATATAACTTGTTGAGTCATCCAACCAATGATATATTTTATCTTAAAATAGAATGGTCTGGAAATGCGCTATGTAAATCCTTCACGCCACAATATAACATGCCTTGGTATAACTCGGTATAGTTTTCTATACGCAAATTATGTAAGTGTTCAACAAAAGGAGAAACACCTAAATACAGGAGCAAAATGAAAATTCTGACAATATGATGTTTTTTAAAAATCTTTAAACATGTGACTTAAAGATAAATATTTCAGGTAATAAGGTCATAAAGCCATTATTTGTTGAAACACATAGCATATTTGCCAACAAACGACGCCATTTTTGAAAATGCATCAAATTTAACATCAAATATTTGTAAATAACATCGTGAAATATTATAAAATCATCTTTACATGATACGATTAAATAACATTTTTTCTTCGTAAAATCAATTTCTATTTTGGCATTGAACAATGCATAATTAAAATAAAAGTTTATGAAACTTGGACCTATTTTCAAAAAATGCAGTAGATGTTTAACTTGACACCGGGAATGAAAAAATCCAAATTCCATTGCAAATCTATAGAATTGTTACTTTTTAAAGAAAAATCTGATACAGTAATGTAACCAAAATTAGTTTTCAGTCAACTTTTATCAATTAATCTTATAATTATAATTTCGAATATTGATTCACTATGCCCGATCATAGTTTGTAGATTTCCTAATTTGATTTCAAATTCATGTATAATAAATTGTTACTTTTCAAAGACAAAACTGATAATGTAACGTAGCCAAGATTAGTTTTCAATATTTTTTGATTGATTTATCTTATTATTTGAATTTTGAAGGGTGATATACTATGCCAGATCACAGTTGGTAGATAACCTAATAATGTGACACAACTGAGACATCTTTTAGTAAAATTCGTCCGACTCCAGACCATTCTATTTGAAAGACCCTGTCTTAATTAAGATATAACCAATAGCAAAATGCAACATATACTCTATTGCTCTTTTTACTGTAGTTATATTGCAACTTTCAAATTTCCTTTTCCTTTTTGTAACGTAAAAAGTAGTAAATCAACAAACTTATACTCATCAAAATTACCATGGTTCAAACAATAAAATATTGTGTTTCTTTTTTACAAAGCTAGTCATTATTTAGTGATATGTTTAACTATTTCACTCTAAAATGGCGGAACATAATTTAAAGGGACTCCACGGAGGTATAAAAGCCTAAAAACATAACATTAGAATTTCTTACATAAATGAACTGGGGTGCTTTAAACAGAAATATATGCAAAGATAGTAAAGAACTATACTTTTAAAATAAATCGAAAATCGTAGTTTTATGCTTTTCTTAGCCTAATTTGAGTGAAAAGCGTTAAAACGCTTTTCATTTTGGGTCATTTTTTTACAATTTGAATAATTATTATGGAAAAACGAAGTGCGTGAATGATCTGAAAGTTTGCACAAAGATTTGTGGTCTACACATACATCAAATGGTACATTTATCTGGAAAAAAATATTTTCAGTCCCATCATGTCAAAAAACCTCAGTGGAGTCCCTTTAATCTTATTAAAATAAAAACAATTTAAATCATACTTTTTTAAAGTGAATTGGTCTACAATAAGAGATATAAATACCATAAATAATTATTTTATAGTAAGTATTTAGAATCATATATTAAAGCAAACCACAAAAAATTGTATATGGGTGTTGTTGGCAAGTGATAGATACATGATCCGATACAACATATTAATATATAGAATATGTGTACTAGTATAATAAAGTGTTTTAGAACAATTATATATTATGTCCATACTAAATCATTTTAGAACTCTATCAACATTTCCAAAACATATCCAAAATGCACATTTCTTATTGTCTAATTGTGGTCGTGTTATCAATATGTAGACCAATCCACTTTAATTATAAGCGTTTTGTTACAAGTTTCATTTGTGTTTTCTAAATGTATGTGAGTAGTTCACAAACAAAGTTTTCAGAAGGATATTTTTAAATATTTCACAGCGGCCTAGGTAAAAACTTTCTTTACAAATGTAAATTCTTCTTGAAGAAAACAAGTTTAAGTATAAACGATGCAAAAGTTTGCTGGTCTGTCTTTGATTCAGCAAGGTACTAGAAGATTGTACAAGGTATTGGTGATGCACTGTTTTAAAACAATATTCTTTTGGATATGTTTCTGTATTGCCAGGAACCAGGTGTAAAGTTTTCATATTGGACTCTAGTATTCATATTGGACTCTAATAGAAGCATAATCATCATTGTCACTGTAGATTTACTTGAGCTGATTATCTGAAAAAAAAGTATAAAGAATAAAAGAGAAAATTCAAAATATAAGTGTGTAACAGTGTAGATTACAGGATTTATTAAGAATAATAATATATATTTATGTGTTTTATGATTCATACACATTTAAGGTGAACCTAAGTTAATGCAAATCATAAAATTCCATACGCGTAAGTAACTAATCTATTTTTTAATTAATTTTATGTAAACTATGTTTTTTGATATTATAGTGGCATGTGTGAACATTATTTTTGTTAATCAAATTAAATAACATATTTATCACACACCGGTGCCGATTTTGCGACTCCGTATTAAATATGGTATTGCACGGTCGTGCATAAACTTTGACGTGACATCATTAGCGTTATACAAACATAGTGTAAAGACGCGCTAAATGTTAGCGTTATACTATAGCCGTTCAATGAAGGATGACTCTTATTTCACTTTAAACGGTCTTTATCTTGGGTATGTGATAAATAGAATATTAAATTCGAGTAAGTTCATTACTGAATTTATTACACTCGTTGAATTAAATAATATTATGCCTGCAAGAGGCTCGCATAATATAATTTTATTCAACTCGTGCAATAAATTCAGTATTGAACTTACACTCATTCAATATCCTCTATATAATACATCTCGCCCAATCGCCTATAGGTCTCCTTCATTTGTAAAAAATAGTTGCCATTAAGTGATAGAAATATGGATAGAATATATTGAAATTGCCCTTTATATGGATCATTATATCTCCACGACCTGACATATGAGTAGAACCACAGACCTTCTGTAAGCAAATTGAATTGAATAATACATATTCTGCCGGCCAGCTGAAATGAATTATTTAAGCATATTAGCAGGAATACCATCTGTAAGCAAACTGAATTGAATTATTTAGGCACGAGCTGATATCAGAGTAGAATAAGCCAACTTAATGGAATAATATAGGCATGATCTGACAATTTCAGAGGGGAACCTCTTGCATTCCGTGAAGGAACTGAATAAAAAATAACACCTTCCCCAAGCCAGCTGAATTGATTTTTTAAACATAAGCTGGTATCCGAGTAGAACCAAAAACCTCTGTTAGCCAACTGAATTTTATCATCTAGGCAAGAGCTGACATCTAAGTGGAACCACTGTCTTTTCCAGTCATATTAATTTAACTATTTGACATAAGCTGATATCTGTTTAAGAGGCACAAGCTGATATCCGAGTACAGTCGGCCTACTGAGTAAAATATAGGCATGCGTTCACATCACAGTATAAACCTCGGGCCTACTGTAAGCCATTTGTGCATAATAGCTGACATCTGAGTAGAACCACGGCCTGTTGTCAGCTAAGTGAATTTAACTATTTGGCCTAAGCTGATATCCAAGTAGAACCACAGACCATTCCTAAGATAACTAGTACCAAACTATGCTTAAGATGTATTAAACTCAGATGGTATTGAAACTCGGTTTACAAAACTTGGCGTAAAATGAAATATTTTTTCAACAATTTCCCAAAGAATCGTTCATTTATAAATTAAATTGGTTGAATAAAGCAATTGTCTTTTGCATGGAAGCTGTCTTCGATATTTTATTTTACTATCTTTATTTGATTTCATAGATCTGTCAATCATAAAGATAATTTAAGACTTACCTTGTAACAAAGGAACATGGTATTTTTGTTGCTCGAAATAATCTATAACTACACAAATCCTAATTCTGCATCACAAAGATTTTGATCTTTAAAGGCCGCTGAAACGAGAAATAAGACACAAGATTAACGCATACATGTATTTTATTAATGGGGAAATTTTGCACAACAATGTTTTATTCTAATGTAGTCCACAGGTGCTCGTCCAGTCTTGGTGCCCATATAAAAAATGAAGTTAAATAAAAAAACAAAAAAACAAAAAAAAAAACACACATCAAAAAAACTATTTTGGGTTGAGTGTAAGAAAAAAAAAAGATTTTTTTTCTTATATACCATTACTACGTAGTTGGAGGAACACGAAATAATGTTTCATGCAAAACATCTAAGTTTTAGGCCCTTGTGAATTCAAATGATTTTTAAAGTTTTATGTGTTTATCAAAAATCAATGACCTTTTAATCCAAAAGCTATAATTTAACAAACATTATTCATTTCCACTAGAGTATGTGTCTTGACAAATATCTAAGATTAAACCTTCATTGTAAAAATGACTTTAATTATAAGAAAAAAATTATGCCCCCCCCCCCTCCCCCCACCTCCAGACTGAGTCAGTTCTGACCCTAGGGTTACTTTATGGTTTAAAAATTAAAGGAAACTGGTTGACAGGCCAGCATTTAATGTTATTAAAGGAGACACTTTTAAAAGTAATTAATAATTTAAAGAGTCTGGCAATTAAATTGTTACAAAAAATAAAAATCTAACGAGAATATTTCTGAAAATAAGAAAAGAAAAACAATCCTTAAATATTTTTGAAATTAATAAAATGTATAGGAGATAATAGACGGTTAATTAATAAACTGTGTTCACCTATGTATACAATTACATGCACTATGTTTAAAAAATATTTTATTTTGATTTAAAAAAAAACTATTTTGGGAATAAAAAATGGAAGTGGCTAGCCGTACGGGCCCGTACGGCTAGCCAAAAGTTCTAGCCGTACGTGAGTCACGTACGACTAGCCTGGACACACTGTATTGGCTAGCCGTACGGCACTTTTCAAAATTATATGGAAGTCGAAAATGCATATGTTATTTTGTGTCTTAAAATTTAAACGACGATTTTAATCAAATCTCCGCATTTGTCCTAACTAGTGTGTTCACTTTAATCAAGATGCCCCGCAATTTTGCAAAAAAAATAAAAAAAATGAAAATACGACTAATATAACCTGTACGAAATTTTGGCACGGAGTCTGGGCGGAATTGGCACGGAATTGACACGGAATCAGTGATTTCTGGGCGGACCAGGAACGGAAACGCAAATTCCGTGTCATTCTGTCTCACAAGAAAAATATTTTGTTCACTTTTCTGGGCGGAAAACTAGAAAAATTCCGGCTGGAATTTTATTTGGAGCAGAATTTATACTTAAACATTTCATCTTGGACAGAATTTTCAACTTTGAAATTTTCTTGGGAAGGAATGGTCTTCACTATGGGCGGAATTCTATACTTAAACATTTTTCTTGAACAGAATTTCACATATAAGATGTCTTAATCATAATTGTTAACTCTTGTTTTTGCACTTGCAGACAATGAAATTTTACCAACTGTACTTATTATTTTTGTTGAAGCATGATACTTGACCAATAATTACAGGTGTATTTTTAGAATAAATAGGGTTATTTTTTAGACATTAAAATATGCCTAAACAATGTTTTTTAAATATTGTGGCAAATGATATATTGTCAGACTAATTTAGCAAATATTTTTTGTACTGAAAAACAACTGTAATAATCTTAGTGTAGAACTTTAAAACATTCACCTCCAAAATGCTTAAGTTTATAAAAATAACATTGAAATAAGAATGCTGCTTAAATTTGAATATCAGGACAGCCACAGAACAAGATAGTGTGCTTGCCATTTTAAACTCTAAGAAATCATGATTTTGTTATAAAAAAAAATAAGCAAAAACAAAACAAAAACATTGCATGAAATAATCTCATATAGTATGCCCTTTTAATCTATATAGAATTGATCAGCCAATATGCCCAATAATTGCTTTCATTTAGGTAAATAAATACTACAATATATATCCACTGAGATTTTACACTACACAGATCAGAGCTCTGATAAAACTCAACTGACCAGCAGTTTTCCCACCATCTTAAATTCTTTGCATGACTAATTTACTCCACTGGTCATTCCAACAGATCAGGCTGTTCCATTGAATTATTTTGGGGAGAGATAACATTATAAATTTCATATGCAGAAATTGTCTAGGACATTGCAATTTTTTTTGTTCAGAAATTTGTAATGATTTTTAAATTCTATATATATATCTATTTGTTACTTGAATTTTTGTTACATTCAATGAATGAAGGTTGAGATGATGAGTAAATTAACCCTGTTTTACATAATGATTGACCTGTCCATGCAGTTATACAGTTGTGAATTTTGAATTCTAAGATATCTGTGTCAGCAAAAACACTGCAAATAACAGAGGATGTACTTGATATTTTAACAATTTTGGAGATATACTTTTGTTTAAGATCTCAAAGTGTTTTAGTATTGGTATGATAAATAAGTGTGAAAACATGGGACAAGGAGATGAACAACATAATCTGGTAATTATAAACCTTTAGTTACATTAATGCTGAAACAAGTTTTATATCAAACTTATTATCAATGGTAGCAAACTAAAATTTGTAACAAGAGGTCAATGTTGTTTTTATATTTTCAACTTCATACATTTATTTTTTTCTGATAATTGTTTTAAATCTTTATTACATTTTTAATGGCTGTAAAATATAAATTATTCAATGAATCTATATAATGATTGTGTGTATTGTATAAATTAATAGCATGTAGTAGATCTTTTTCATATCCTGGAAATTAAACAAATTAAGTCAATTTGATTAAATAGGAATAAATGGTACAAATTCAGAAGTTTTGTACAGCTGAACAGGGTCATCATAATCATTTATTATTTTACATGTATGTGTTGTGTTTCCAATGGAACAATCTAAAATTACATTTTACACTCATATTTTCAGACTGGGAGTTAAGTGCTGACCGTGAGATGCAAGGTGTGCAGTATTAATCCTGAAAAGGTATATTTTTAAATCTCAATACTTTACTATTTAACATCTTTCCTTAAAAAAATACATAACCAGTAATAAATAGTGTCAACAAATAAAGCAGTTAATTAATTCTTATACAGAGCAATTCTTAAACACTTGTGCACTGAAATAAGATACTGCGTAAGCTTAAGTATTTTTGAATATGCACAAGCACTGTTAATATTTAATACTGTTGAAACATAAAATTTGATATTATCAAAAAATATGAAATATAACTGCATATATTTATGCAATCAAACATAATTCATTACTACATTTTTGTTTAATTTATTATTAATTTTATTATTAAAGGTGAGCACAACCACAAGAAGTTCTTGGAAACACAGGCAGTGGACTTAAAACAGACATCAATTAAAAGAAATAGTAATTTTAATAATCAGAAACATTTGAAACAAATTTATGATTGAAACACTCTCAGCAAAAAAAATGCAAAAAAAACAAAGTGTTGGATTCTAAGAAAACCAGTACCTACCAAAACCTGCAGGTAGAAAAAAACTGTTTGTGTTATAGTGAATGTATGGTATTCTATTCTGTATTTGGACTAAAGGATATGTATTAAATTTTGTGAAAGAAAATTTAATGTGATACATAACTGATAATTTTATCCCCAAAAAATGTGATCATGTTAAACTCATAAAAATTCCCCCCCCAATGAATTCTGTCCCAGAATTCCGCCCAGAATTTTGTTTGACAATTCCGTTCCAAAATTCCGTTCCGAAATTCCACCCAGAGATTCCGCTTCAAAATTCCGCCCAGAGATTCCGCTTCAAAATTCCGCCCCAAGATTCCGCTTCAAAAATTCCGCCCCAACTCATTTGCATATTTCGTCCCAATTCCGCCCAGAATCCGTCCCGTTTCCGCCTGGAATCCGGCTGGAATCCGTGCCAAAAGCAAATGGTTTAACACTTGTATATTTTGGGGAGAATTTAAATTTCTGGGCGGAATCTGCCATTGAATTCCGCCTCATTTCCGTGCAGAAAATTTCGTACAGGAAGCGTTGTATTATCTATCTTAATAAAATTAAGTGCCAAAGTTGCACGTTATAACATCCTTTATTTTCATGCTTATGATTTGTATGAAAGATGAATTGTTAAATCTGTTAATTAAGTACATGGATCGAATAAATAATGATCGGAGGGGAATAAATAAATAAATAAATAAAAAGAATATTTTAAAAAAACGGTGAAAAGGAAAAATAATTTAATAATGCAAACTTTCCTTAATGATGGACGATGGACAAACTTCTATACCGTCGGTAATTGACGCGCAATTATCAGAGCCCAACAACAATTATTTTCGGTGTTTTTTGTTTTTGTTTTTTTTTTCAATTTAAAAATTAAACTTAATGAAACAAAAAAGGATTACTATCAAAATTTTGTAAACTATTTCAATTGATGTTATTTAACTGCAACCAAACGCTATTTTTTCTCGACGACTTGAGATGACAAAGTACATTCTTTACTGTAGCCAATACGTCGATTAATCTCTAAAAAGTAAACATTTTTGACTAAAATCCTCGCTTAAAGTCACAATTAACATATGCACTTTCGCCTTCCATATATTTTTGAAAAGTGCCGTACGGCTAGCCAATACAGTGTGTCCTGGCTAGTCGTACGTGACTCACGTACGGCTAGAACTTTTGGCTAGCCGTACGGGCCCGTACGGCTAGCCACTTCCATAAAAAATCATGGTAAATATTAATTAAAAAGTTAATTTATTTATATCAAATATATTTTCAAGAAAAAGTTAATAAGAGTATTGTTCACTGTTAATAATCTATTTCAGTTCTTATATATGCATGTATATATAAAAATACAAAAAAAATATATAAAGGTAATAAAAAACATTCAATATAAAATCACTCACCTGTTAAATATTTTCATATCCTAATCCATCTTTGATATCCATTGAAATTCCGTGAAAACTTCCTTGAATTATTTCTATTAATTAAATGTTTTTATTTATAAACAATTGTCACTTAAATTATTAATTGAAAACGGAAGTATAAGAATGTCCTAATTAAAGTTTGATGAGTCGCCATTTTGTTTCTAAGTGTCCATATTTAAATTGTTTTCATTTAAAATCATTGAAGTAATTTCATTAGTTTATTGTACAATGTTTTTCCTTTGTTTATTCTTTACTTGGTTTTATTGTTTTGAACTCAATCACCCGTCCCCACAAGTCGTCGTAGTCTTGTATCACATGAAAAGTCTGTGAACTCCGAATATTTTTTATAACACGTCTATATTCTGTTTCCGGTTTAATGGCGATCATCTTTACTGTAACTGACTGCGGCAGAGTTTTCAGCACGGTAATAAAGTTCTGTAAACTTTCTGCGGACATTTCTATCAGCACCAACTCCACACGTTTAATATTCACCATGTCACGTGACAGTAACAATGAACTTTCATCATCTAGATTGATGAGCGACAACCTAACATAAACTAATGACGGTGTTGTTATATTTAATTGTAGTCTCCCAGGTAACGTGTCCAAGTCTAACTTTGATAGAGTTGAATGTTGAGACAAGTGCAAGTTCATCAATCTCTTACAATCACGGCGGTAGCCATGTTCTTTACAGTCTAACTTCCACAATGTTAACTCTTTCATTGATTTTTGAGCGGAGATAAAATTGTAAAATGTTTCCAGTATTTTGTGAGATAACGTGAAGCTGTAAATATATAAATATTGTAAGTTTTGTAATCGCGCTAAATTTTCACACTGATTCTCTTCATCATTTATCCATGTACCATACCGCAAAGTAACGTACTGTAAACTGGGAAACAATATCCGGTTTATCTCAGCCTCCTCCTTGCTGCCACAATCATAGTAAAGTTTCTGTATATGACTGAGATCTGTGAGAGAGAATAAATCTATAATTCCACGTAAACTCCTGAAAGTATATCTGATGTATATATAAAGTGATTTTATGTTGGTTTTATTTTGTTTTAATAAACGTTGTAACAGCTTACTGTTCACGGTGCGCCAGTCAATGAAGAAATCTTGTAAACATAATTGAATATTTTCACTTTCAGGCATTTCTTGTAAACACGACATGAACATTTTCTGTATGTTATACAATGGAGTATTGTACACTATCTCGCGACCTATCCTAGTTCTATAGTCGCGTGTTTTCTCGTCTTCATTTATCACAGCCATCAAATCATTTGATATTTCACACATCAGGTCAGCATTCATTCCACTTATAAATTCACACATTTTTGACATGTCCAGAATATCTTGAACATTTCTACATTTTTCTACAACAGTTTTCTGAGCGTCACTTTGAGAACTTATAAAAATGGCGGCAAAGTATTCTTGAACTGTTTTGTGAGAAAACGATACTTTACTAATTTCTTTAATTAAAGTTTTACTTCTACTTTCTGACAGTATTCCTGAGAGAAGACTTAATTTCATGTCGTCTGCTTTGAGATATATATCAGCAACCATTCTATCAAATAAAAGCGTATTTTGTCTGTTTTTGTTAAATAATGTTTGGTAAGCTAGTTCTGCTAATGATGTTATAAGACTGTAAAACTTTTTACAAAATTCATGACTTTTGAAGTAACCTGGAATTTCACTGGCAGACGATTCACGAGATGGTTGAACTTCCGGGTGTTTCTTTGACGTTCTTGATAATAGAAATTCAATGATATTGGTGTAAATTTCATGTTTTGAGTTTCCTATAGGAATGTTGTTGCACCACAGGCAAACTATATACATGAGGAGGAGTGGGATCACCTGCATGTGCTCTAGGCGACGGTCACGTATCACTTTATTGAAGTCCCATATTTTACTCTCTAGTACTCTATCGTCACGGACACTTGTCATTTTTCTTATAGCATTTTTTTCAAGTTGCCGCGTAGAATCTGCACTTAATTGAACCAATTCTACTTTTTTGTTTATTTGACTTGTTTTGAGATTTGCGACTCCGAGTTTCCACGGTCGAGTTGTCGTAAGGATAACACAATTATCACGTACGTATCGATGTGGGATTTTTTCTGTTACTTCGCTACAGCTATTATCAGGGTGATTCCATTCATCAAGACCGTCCAATATTATCAAGCATTTTTCTCTACGTAAAACTTCATCTTGTATTGCAGAAGTAGGAAGTTTCCTTGTAATTTGCTGTTCAATCATATCGTCAATGTTGCAAACAGAGGTACAGTCTCTTAATAAAACCAAAAATAAGAACTTGAAGTCTAATAACGTTTTTAACTCGTCGTCTTTAAAGCAGGCGTAGTTTTCATCGTGACAATGAGCTTGACACCACGTGACTGCAAGATATTTTGAGAAAGCAGTTTTTCCAAAGCCTGCATCAGCTGATAGATAAATTTCTTGCTGATCACCACTTCCGGTTAAAAACAGGTCTTTCAAAGACTTGATCGGTGTTCTCTCCTCTTCATGACAAGTTAGGGACTTCTTTTTTACAGTGACTATATCTGGCATCACGTAGAACCCAGCTAGATGTGTCTCTATTTCTTCAAGAAGCGGTGACAGAGGTATTGAACTACACCTTTTTCTGTAGAATTTAATCAGGTCGCCTTGAAGTTCTGAAAATAGAGTAGAAAAACGTGTTAATCAGTGACAATTCTTCTATATAATATATGACATGTTTCTAGGTGTTAACTGTTTCCTAACATTAATTTTGCATGGTGAGAATCAGGAAATGCATACGGCAAATAAGTTTAACAATGCATAATAATAGTGACATTATGCCCATCTAAAGGTATATAGTGAGTGAACAGGTAAGAGTCAAAATAAATTTTCATTTCGCCATAATTCTTTTGTTTTAATAATTTACTTTCATAAACAATAAATAACCACCGGATTCAAACGAACTTTCAGTAAATATCATTTATTATTTACCTGTAACGTTCAATTTATAAAGAGAGTGGGGCAGTCTTTCTATATTTCAGGCAGATATTAAATTTTATCCTAAACATTTTCCAATATAATCTATTGGTCAAACATCATTTAGATCTATACAGTCAATCCTTTGAAATATAAAGTCAATTCAGCGCAACTTGACAATGGAAATATGAGCATAATGTCACTTTAACCCTGTTTTAATAATTGCATAAGTTCATATACAAAAGGATTTTTCCCCCATCGTAATATTAAATACATCGTATGCTTGAAAATAAACATTTGAGCCGCGTCACGACAGAACCAACATAATGCGTTTGCGACCAGCATGGATCCAGACCAGCCTGCGCATCCGCGCAGTCTGATCAGGATCCATGCTGTTCGCGTACCAACTCTTTTACAAGTAGCAGTATGGATCCTGTTCAGACTGCGCGGACGCACAGGCTGGTCTGGATCTATGCTGGTCGCAAACCCATTATGTTGGTTTTGTCGTGACGCGGCTCATTTTACTTCTTCATTAATGCAATCAAAACATACGAAATGTGTTTGATATTGTACATGTATAACTTCAAAATGGCATTTGGTATCCGTATTATGCACATAACAACTGAATATCTGCGACACCATAGTTTGGGAATCATGGACAAATGTTTCAAATTCCTGGGAAGGGTGGGGACAGGAAGGTGGGGGGAGGTTACAGTTTTGGGACTTTAAAGTTAATGTCTCAGCAGTCTGATCTATTGTTTTGGAATGTTGTTAATCTAATAGTCAAACCTAATACACAGTTGACATACTGACTAGTTTGGAAAAAAACACACTCAAAAACTGATTTAAATATTTTATATGCTGGTCAAATAAGATTGTATGTGTCAATCACATATTTGGTCATTTAATTTTTGATACAAAACTATTATTTATTCTGGTCTGGATCCTAGGAATTTAGGGGGGTCGGACTGGACCACAGACACTTGGGGTGTGGAGCTTAAAACACCTTTAAAATCCAAATAAAATGTATATTTGTCAATCCCAGCACATGTACTGATCATAAATATCAAAAATCTTAATATAAGCCGTTTTGAAAAAAAAATCAAATTTCAACGTCTATAATAATAATAATAATAATAATAATAATAATAATAATAATAATAATTATAATAATAATAATAATAATAATAATAATAATAATGTCTATAACAATAATAATAGACGTTACGCCTCGGGTAACAGTATTTTCCTCGGGATGATATTGTTACTGTTACCCACACACCCATTTTCACCGTAAACATGTCAATGCAGTGAAACATATTTTCCGTATTTTCACTTTCTTTTAAATTCATCTAATACATCAATTTTAAGGGTGAGTCTTTAAATTGTAATGTAAAAAAATAAAAATCAGTATATAAAAAACAGAAAATTCAAGTTTTTTTTTATATTAACAGGATTTATTTGCATCTTGTGGTATGAAAATTATCATATTTCACTCGTGGCTACCGTCAGTCATGAAATATTTATTTTCATACCACTCAATGAATATATAGAAAAAAAACTTGAATATCCTCTATACAGTATAATAGCATAAACAAGCTAAATGAAATCAATTGCAATATATTGAATAATTTACTAAAACTGAAAAAAAAAAATGAATTGTCGTCTGCTATCACTTCCGGCAGAAAAATAAATGAGTGTAAAGACACTTTTGAAAGAATTTAAAGTAGAATGAATCACATTTCAATAAATAAAAATCTTACCGTGGTTACCACTGGTATGAAATAATAGCAGAAAAAGAAAATAACGAAAAACAATTTAAAATATGCCATCACTGGTGAATTTGCGCGGACTACTGAAACAAACATAACATATCTATAAATAGAAATTGATTATATCTTGACAGTGCCAACCAAGGAAGGATCAATAATTAGGTAAGAGGGTGCGCAGGGTGAGCAATGTTACATTGAAAATGTTGCATTATCGTGGAAAGGGTCCGTTTTTACCACACAAAATCGGTTTCAGAAACATGCAAGTTATAACAATTAATGTGAATTCATGTGACTCCATCTTCTCTTAAACTACCTTCTTTTCGGTTGGTTTTTAATTCAATGTTATAATGTTGACTTTCCAGCTTTACCTTCCCTAGGTACAAACGGATACCTGAATAGAACCACCCTAAGACGTTCCATGGAATGCTGCCACACATTTAAGAATCAAATCATTTGCAAAATTCGAATCCAAAGCTGTGAGGACCTTAAACCGGTCGAAGACGGGCAATACAAAATAATAACACATCCATGTTTAAATTCATGGAAAGAAATATTCCCAAAATATAATTTTTCCTTCATTCTTTCAACTTAGTTTAATAATGTATATCCAGTAACGCCGGAATGTGAAAATAACGCACGATTCGTGCAATAAGTAACGCAGAATTGTGCAATAAATGGCGGCTACCTGACAGGATTTCCAACGCGGTAAGTAAACTGGCCAATATATTTTTTATTGAACCGAACTGTAAAAATGAATAGCTGCATACGGCTGCAAAGACATTACTCTTTATCCCTCATCAACATTACTTCCACGAAATTGTTTACTTTTCAAGATCATTCGTGAAAATGATGACTTGACTACCTTTTTGAGCGAGATTTTGGCTTTTTGCCGACTCTTATAAGGACAACAATGCATATTATTCCATAAAATTTAGATTTTTGGTTAAATTGAAATAAGCTGATAAAATTGAATTCAAGACGTTTTTATGAGGTAACGCCGATGTACGTGAATAGTGCTCCGCGGTAACGCCAGAAAATGTGATTTTTTCAAATATGGTACTGAACTGTTACACAGGTTTAACGCCATTAATCGGCTAGTATCAGCACTTTCCAAATATATTCTGGTGGGGGAAACTTTAATTCACTTTATAGAGAATTTATTTTAGTTTGAATGCGTAGAAGACAGACACAGTCTCGAATCAGTCCCTGAACAACTGGTGCATTATTTCAGGCATAAAATATACATTGATAGTTTGCTATTACTTTTATATTCAATTTATTTGCAAAGTAAGTTTACTGTTCTTATTTTCTAACAAGATCAGACGTTGGCAGCATGTTCACAATAATAATTTTATTTCAGGAAACAATTGTCAAATTGTACTAAGTTACAATATGCAATCAAAATGCTGAAAGTTTGTCAAGATCTAATTATCATATATTTCTTAATGAGTTACGGAGAAAATACATTGACTATAGGTAAAAAATAACTTGTTTATATTCGCCGATAAAAGGCGTTAAAAAGAGGATATTTGTTTGTTTTGCATGTAAGATTGAAATATAATTTCACTGAGTGAACACCAGATGCAATATTTTCACGAGTGGCGTAGCCACGAGTGAAAATGTAATAGCTGGTGTTCACGAATGAAATATATTTCAATCTTATATGTAAAACAAATAAATTTTCTCTTTTTTTTCATGCTTTTTAAGTGATTTTAAGTATTTTTTATTGATTTTGCCGCGTAACGTCGCGCATTCTCCTATGTGACGTCATCACATCATTACGTCACTTCATCAATTTTGAAATATAGTTCTGTTAAATTTCTCTATTTTTTTTACATTTTTAACATGATGTATGGTGACATCGACTTTCTCTTCCCTAAGAAGCACAATTTACGTATGACGGCATTTATTTCTGCCTGTTATTCCATTTAGTTATGATTTTCTTTTCATCCGCATTCGGATATAGTCCGGCTACAGTGAAAATTATATTTTATAAATTTCACTAGCCGTTTATCAGAATATAATCATCTGATAATAGATATATTACAATAAAACACTGGAAAGCATGAAATAAACCTGTGTAATAATTATGTACCATATAAAAAATCACATTTTCCGGCGTTACCGCGAAGCACAATTCACGTACATCGGCGTTACCTCATAAAAACGCCTTGAATCACATTTTATCAGTTTATCTCCAATTTTCTATATCACAAGAAATTAAGTTTTTGTCACTTGCCTACTGAAAATCTAAATTATACGAAATAATATGCATTGCTGTACTTATAAGAGTCGACAAAAGCCAAAATCTCGCTCAAAACGGTGGTCAAGCCATCATTTTCACAAATGATCTTGAAAAAAAAAAGAATTTCGTGGAAATAATTTTCATGACGAATGAAGAGTTATGTCTTAGCAGCCGTATGCGGCTATTGATTTTTTTAGTTTGGTTAAATAAAAATATATTGGCCAGTTATCTTACCGCATTGGAAATCCTGCCAGGTATCCGCCATTTATTGCACAATTCTGCGTTACTTATTGCATAGATCGTGCGTTATTTTAACATTCCGGCGTTTCTGGATATACACGGTGATCAAACTTTCCTATATATTTTTGTAATATTTGGAACTATGCGCCTCGTTTGTAAAATAAACAGTTATTTTATTCCGCGTCAATATCTTATTTCAAAAATTATTAATTCATCACTCTTCCTCTAATGACTACGGTGGCACAAAGGTGACATGTATGTGTTTTTATTTATCTCGTGGCCACGTACGGAAGCTTGAATTGACCCCCCGAGATGCCGTCCGAGATAATTTATATGTGGTCATGTTTATATATATTAGTGCGACATGGCGTGCTCTATCATGGTTTTGATGGAGAAATATAGAATCTTTACAACATCTGTATCAGGGCATGTCGACATAACTTATGTCTATTATAAAACACGGACGGGACCATTTGAACGTCATAATTATTATTCGGAAACTAAATCCCGCCCATCGAGTAATGACTGACGTACTGTGTTACTATATCGTTGAATTTATTTATAAACTAAATATTTAGAATCGTCCTTTATTAAGAAAACAATGTCGACTATATTAAAAGTTTATCAGTCTGATGTTTAATTTGATCTTAATGTGTCAATTGAGTTGATATTTTACAATACAAGCTGTGCATTTCGTTTAATAACAATACTGGAAATAAAATAAGTTAAATAACTTAAAAACCCTTTCGTCGGACACTTTTGAAGATAAACATTACAATTACTCACAGTAGACTTGTATTTATCTGGTTGGCAGTAAAACCAGAAATATCAGTCAGTGTCAGAGCTGCATCAGTACTAAGGGAAATTATGCAGTACCATTACCAGTACCAGTACTAGATTTTAGCTCGGTACTGCAGTACCAGTACTTTTTTTTGGTGAAGTAATTAAGTATCAGTACCATTACTTTTATATATTCATCAAAGTTTGAATAAATACAGTGTCAAACAAATAATTGCAAATATTATTCAGCAAAGAAATAAAATCATAATTTACTTTAAAGTTAACATAACATATTTACAACTCAGTTATAGATACTTGCGGAATAAATACATTTATAGCCATACTTGCATTACAACCGTTAGATCAGTGTTGGCGTATTATTCAGCTTGCTATAGAAAATGACGATCAAATGTTGATCAATTATTCAGTTTCAAAGTGCTTGTATAAGGTGATTAAATGATAGACTTAAATTAAGTGGATCTGATTTAAGTAAAACTATTTAAGCACGGAATATGATAAAATATAGTGTTAAGTTTAGTTCTATATTTAGCATCCCACTTGGTATATATTATCATTGATATTCCTTTATTGCATTGACTTATTGGATGAGATTTTGTCATATACGTACCTTTACATGTCTTTGTTAACTTGTAGGAATCTTGATATTTCGATTTCGAGTTAAGGTTTCTGTATACAAGTGATATCTTAAATGCATTGCATATTGTGATGTTGGATAAATGAAAATATTTCACCAATGTTCATTGTTATATATAATGTATCTGCCTTTTTTGCTTGTTATTTGATTTGTATATATGTTTATGCTCTTCAATTTTGGAGGAAATAAAAGTATCTATCTATCTGTTCAATTTATACCAAAGTAAATAACAACTTTTTATGGTGCTAACAATATCACTTTTTTCACTTGAAATGGGATTATTTAGAATAGAAGAAATTAATTAGTGCTTATTTTGCTCTTTTACTAGTAAATACAAAGTAATAAAAGATTTTAATAAGGATATTTTAGGGTAAAGAGTTATTGAGTCTGTTTATCTTAATTTAATTTTTACTTAAAGTCTTTGGTGCTTTTTAGCTCGACTATTCGATAAGAATAAGTAGAGCTATTGCAGTCACCCGAGCGTCGGCGTCGGCGTCGGCGTAACCACTTATGTTAAAGTTTTTGTAATAGTTCAAATATTTTCAAAGTCCATTGGCATAGGGCTTTGAAACTTTGCACACTTGTTCACCATCATGACCCCAACCTGGAAACAGGAGGAGGTAACTCTATCAAGCATTTTGACAGAATTATGCCCCTTTTTCGACTTAGAATTTACGTTAAAGTTTTTGTAATAGTTCAAATATTTTCAAAGTCCATTGACATATGGCTTTGAAACTTTGCACACTTGTTCACCATCATGACCCCAACCTGTAAACAGGAGGAGGTAACTCTATCAAGCATTTTGACAGAATTATGCCCCTTTTTCGACTTAGAATTTATGTTAAAGTTTTTGTAATAGTTCAAATATTTTCAAAGTCCATTGACATATGGCTTTGAAACTTTGCACACTTGTTCACCATCATGACCCCAACCTGTAAACAGGAGGAGGTAACTCTATCAAGCATTCTTTTTACTATCAAGCACTAAGAATAGTCGAGCGTTGCTGTCCTACCGACAGCTCTTGTTATGATGAATACTATGTTAACATTTGAAGGAATATTGCAGCAAATTATCTTTAGATTTGATAACTACTTTTTCACAAAAATAAAATACAGTTATTGTAATTTACAGCTTTATTTTACGAGAAAAATTGATGCTATTTTTAATTTTTATCAAAACCAAAAGTACTGGGTAATGCAGTAGCAGTATCACTTTTTAAGACAGTAATGCAGTACCAGTACCAGTAGTAGCAAAATTTTGTAAGAGTAATTCAGTATCAGTACCAGTACTTGCAAAATCACTGCAGTACGTACTGCAGTACCAGTACCAGTAGCAGTAATGCAGCTCTGGTCAGTGTTTGATATAAAAAACGTACTGATATGCATTTACTACTGAAAAGATATCCGGATACCATTGAAAGGACATTTCAGTTAACAGCCAAATTTACTGTTTTGTTTATTTTTATATTGATAACTTTGCAAATGACTGTATATCGGTTAGGTATATCAACAATGTATATGACAGTAAAATGCAAAGAGGCGGACGTTTGAATACCTTTCAATGTTTTCCTGTAAACTATTCTGTCAATCTGTATGCCACGAATTCACGAAGTGAATCACATATGAGCCACGCCACGACAAAACCAACATTATGCGTTTGCGACCAGCATGGATCCAGACCAGCCTGCGCATCCGCGAAGTTTGATCAGGATCCATGCTGTTCGCTTA